GCATGGCAGTCAAATACGCGTTGAATGCTGCAGTTGGCCCGAATTTAGTACGGGTCACACGCATGGCATGGTACAACCGTCTTGATTTTAGCAGGAGACATTTTAAGATCCTTGCAGTCCTGGCCCAGCTGTGAGTGTACCTCCAACTTAGTTATTACTTCCCACGGCTGAGTTTCTGCAGAGTGGGTATTCGCCGAGACGTGCAAGTGAAGCACTTTGAGTGGCCAGTGCCTTTCAAGGAGCGGCTCACGCTCAAGCAGCTCCTTGGCAATCCTGCCATGGAATGGAAGTGCAACTTGCGGGAGAAGACACACGATGTCGACGGCTCAGCTCTATCCAGCACAGCCCGCAAGAACTTGATCCAGTTTCAAGACTTTTTGGACAAGAATCCGGCCAAACAAGACTCTGACTTCATTGTCGACACAGGCGGTTCTTCAGCAACTTGGATGGAGGACAAATGCCCCTGCCTCACTGCCACCAGATGCAAAGGAAAGCATTGCTACTGGTGGCATCAAGGCCAGAGGTTCCTCACCCCGATAGTTTTTTTTTTGCTTCAAGGCGTGTGGCCTGGGGCCTACAAGCCTGGAGATGTTGAAGAACTTCAACGTTTTCCACAAAGGGTATTAGGACATATGATTGGCAACGCCATGTCTGTTTGTGTAGTGCGACGCTTAGTGCGATGCATTTTCCAAGCACGTGGCATTCTTTGAAGAATAGGCGGCATGTTTCCAGTTTGACCTGTTGAAAATCATTTGAGTCAGCTGCGCTAGCCGTGGTTACCACATTGCTTGCACATTCAGTGCTGAACATTGCCGCAATGCAATTCAACCTCGGTTTTGCTTTGTCCATCGCATCGACCCATTCGACCCAGGTTTTGGCTCACAAAACTAGTCTAACCTGCAACATGGCAGCAGCAGGTGAGAAGAGATTGCCCCAAGGTGTCCTCAACAGAGCTGACTTGCAGTTGGGCGTCCAAGCCTTCTTGCTGTGGGATCCAGCACTCAAGGAGAAGAGCGCGTTTGAGCTGGAAAATGCTCGTGAGGCTTTGATTTTTTGCCAGCCTTTCTTCAAGGAAGACCGCACCAGGTCATGTGCGCTTGCCTGTGCCATCATGTTTTTCACCATCCTTCAGATGACGCTGGACCGCCCTGGCACAGAGCCCACAGACTGTACATGGACCGCTCACCTTTACACCAGGTCTGGACAAATCCAGCCTATGCAAGAGAAGATCGAGAAATGTCCAGCTTTGACATCGCGCGGGTTGCTTGCAGGAAAGGTTGGTGAGTTGGATAGCGCTGCTTCTTTTCTTTTGGGCGCCATCAACGCCATGCCTCATGACCTGCTGCCCCAGGCGCCGCATTTCGAAGGCTGTTTCGCTTGCCTGGACGACTTGTTGGTGCATATGAAGTTTCGACTTCACCAAAGTTCTTCTGCTAGTTAGGTTCGAGACCGAGGCATGTGAGCTGAACAAATGTCCTTTGGTGCTGCTCGCTTTCGCATAAACACAGTGGCCCCGAGAACGACCCGGAAACTTTCAAGGAGGACATCGCCCTTAATATCGAAACCTCCTGTAACGCCAAAGTTATTGATTGATCATAGCTCGACAGACATTATAAGGAAGGCCTTGCAAGGTCTCCTGCGCACAAGCCTGTTTTCAAGGAGGTGTTGCCTCCTTTGTTAAAATTTATGGGAGGCGCTGCTGTAAAGTTTGTGGAGGGCGCCACCGCGCAGAGCGCGGAGGGGCTCTGTGCCACAACAAAAACACCAGAATCACCTACTATACACATCGGATCTTTGCACAGTGACGCTTAGCATCAGTCATATTTGTTTTTTAGTTATAACTGATCGATTTGTAAACATCCGGAACACCATTCTTCAGTTTTAAATCCACATTACCACCCACTAAATAAAAGCAACGCCAATCACTTCATCACAGAAGCACCATCAATCAGCACAAAGAACCTTACTAAATCCACCCCAGTCCTTCCCAGCGCAGTTTCCTCAAGCTATTTCCACGGCTTCATCATCCCGTCCAGCATCCGGTCTCGCTCCCTCCCAGAGAAGTTTCCCCAAGCTATTTCCACGGCTTCATCCCGTCGAGCATCCGGTCTCGCTCCCTCCCAGCGAAGTTTCCCCAAGCTATTTCCACGGCTTCATCGCGTCCAGCATCCGGTCTCGCTCCCTCCCAGCGAAGTTTCCCCAAGCGATTTCCACGGCTTCATCCCGTCGAGCATCCGGTCTCGCTCCCTCCCAGCGAAGTTTCCCCAAGCTCTTTCCACGGCTTCATCCCGTCGAGCATCCGGTCTCGCTCCCTCCCAGCGAAGTTTCCCCAAGCTATTTCCCCAAGCTATTTCCACGGCTTCATCCCGTCGAGCATCCGGTCTCGCTCCCTCCCAGCGAAGGTTCCCCAAGCTATTTCCACGGCTTCATCCCGTCGAGCATCCGGTCTCGCTCCCTCCCAGCGAAGTTTCCCCAAGCTATTTCCCCAAGCTATTTCCACGGCTTCATCCCGTCGAGCATCCGGTCTCGCTCCCTCCCAGCGAAGTTTCCCTAAGCTATTTCCACGGCTTCATCCCGTCCAGCATCCGGTCTCGCTCCCTCCCAGCGAAATTTCTATATTTCCACGGCTTCATCCCGTCGAGCATCCGGTCTCATCCCTCCCAGCGAAGTTTCCCCAAGCGATTTCCATGGCTTCATCCCGTCGAGCATCCGGTCTCGCTCCCTCCCAGCGAAGTTTCCCCAAGCTATTTCCCCAAGCTATTTCCACGGCTTTATCCCGTCGAGCATCCGGTCTCGCTCCCTCCCAGCGCAGTTTCCTCAAGCTATTTCCACGGCTTCATCCCGTCGAGCATCCGGTCTCGCTCCCTCCCAGCGCAATTTCCCCAAGCTATTTCCACGGCTTCATCCCGTCCAGCATCCGGTCTCGCTCCCTCCCAGCGAAGTTCCCCAAGCTATTTCCACGGCTTCATCCCGTCGAGCATCCGGTCTCGCTCCCTCCCAGCGAAGTTTCCCCAAGCTATTTCCCCAAGCTATTTACACGGCTTCATCCCGTCGAGCATCCGGACTCGCTCCCTCCCAGCGAAGTTTCCCCAAGCGATTTCCACGGCTTCACCCTATAGGTCAGGCAAGGTTATTTGGAGCAAAATAGGTAAAAGTGATTTTGGAGGCAATTTTCT